AACAGGTGTCTGATACATAACGGAGATGCTGCCTCTTGGCCACTGAGAGCTACTGCCCAATAATCTTCCTCTGAAGTCAAGCGTCCAGTCTCTGCCAACACTGGGTGTTGTATTTTGAGCATTGTGACTGTGTGCACTGGTGTCCTGTTCTGGATTTAGTTGCATTTCTCTGATGACTCATGAGTTGAGTCCCTCTATTACCTACACGGGCATTTCTTGGGTGACACAGACTGCTGCTGTGTACCAGTTGTCATGCTTTTAGCTTCAGGTCCTCTACAGGTGTGTTGAAGTAACTTTTCACACATATGGCTTACCTTTCCTCTCTTTGTCAGCTTTTCATTAATATGAGTTTCTAACTTTAATGTCCTCCAGCTTGTCACTTTTTCTCCGTAGTGCCTTTTATGTCCCGTTTAAGAAAAGGTGTTCACACGCACATGTCACCTGTCTATCCATCTGGGATTGGTTTTAGAGGATGGTAGGGATAAAGTCTTTTTTTTTTTTTTAAAGATTTATTTATTTGTGCATACAGAACTGTGTGCAGGCCAGAGGCTCAGGGGTGGTGAGAGGCTTCACCAGAGACAGAGTGGGGAGCAGAACAGGCAGGTCGATGAAGTACACTGCTGAGGGGAGCAGCGGGCGGGCCAGGAGAGGTCTGCCGCGCCATGTGGTCACCTCCGGGGCAGGCGGGGATCGAACTCATGCAGAAGTGGCTTTAGCTTCTTAGTGCTGTGCTTTAACCCGCTGTGCCACCAGGGAGGGCTAGGATAAAGTCTTTTATTTATTTAAATACAGGAACTCATTTGATCCAGCACCATTTTATTAAAAAACTAAAACAAAAAAACAAAACTGTTCTTTCTTTTTTTTTTTTTAAGATTTATTTATTTATGCACTCAGAACTGGGGTACAGGCCAGAGGTCCAGGGGTGTTGAAAGGATTCACCAGAGACAGAGTGGGGAGCAGAACAGGCAGATCTATGAAGTACACTGCTGAGGGGAGCAAAGGGGAGACCAGATAAATCTGCTGCGCCCTGTGGGTCACCTCCCTGGTGGGGTATCAAACTCGTGCTGCAGTGGCTATGGATGGCTTCATAGCTCTGAGAACCACCAGGGAGGGTCCCAGACTGCACTTTCTCCACTGTCCTGAGTGTTAGTTCTGGTGATAAGCCCAGGTAGTCTGCCTACATTTTGTTCCACGGGCTGATTTCTTCACACCCATGCACATTGTCTTCCTAATTGTGGCCTGACTCCTCTGACTTTGTTCTTCTTCAAATCCATTTTAGTATCAGCGCATCAAATTCCACCAAAACAATTTAAAACAGCCAAGCCAACAACAACAACAAAATCTTCTGGGACTTTGAGGTTGAATTGAATTTATAAATCAATTTAGAGAAAACCAACACCCTACATTCCAGTCCCTGAGCAGAATGTATTTCCTCAATTAATTTATATTTTATAATTCCTCTGAGTGACATTTTATTGCTTTCTCTGTGGAAATTATACACATCACTCACTGAATTTATTCTTAGGTATTTGATTTCTATGCTGTTGTAAATTCCCTTTTCTAATTGTTCCTGGCATATAGAAATACAATTAGCTTTTATATATTGAACATGTATCCAGTGACTGCAAAATTAACTTATCAGTCTTAAGTTTACCTATAAGTGGGGGCAGGAAGTCTTCCCAGTCATGTCATATTTTCACTCCTCTCAGCTTCTTTTCATACTGGCTTCTTTCTCTTAGTACCAACTATTTATGTGTTTATTTATGCATACAGAACTGGGGTACAGGCCAGAGCTGCAGGGGCAGTGAGAGGGTTCACCAGAGACAGAGTGGGGAGCAGAATAGGGAGACTGACGAAGTACACTGCTGAGGGGAGCAGCGGGAGGGTCAGGAGAGGTCTGCCATGCTATGTGGGTCATCTCCGGGGTGGGGATCAAAGTCACAATGAAGTGGCTTTAGCTTCTTAGTGCTGTGCTTTAACCCGCTGCGCCACCGGAGAGGGCCTAGTACCAACTCTTTACATTGTGTCTGTCCATGTCTTGTCTTGTAGCTCATTTCTTTTAGTGCTGAATGTTACGCCACCATGTGACCTTATACAGCTTACTTATCTACTCCCTATTGAAGGCCAGGGTGAGCTGCTTTCAAATTTAAGCAATAATGAATAATGCTGCTGTAAACAAACAGTGCAATTTGTGTGGATATCAGTTTGCATTGCCTTTGGGTAAAAACCAAGGCATGTAATTCTGGGCCACATAGTAGAAGTATTTACATTTTTTTAAAGATCTATTTATTTATACAGAACTGGGGTACAGGCCAGAGGTGCAGGCGGTGAGAGAATTCACCAGAGACAGAGTGGGGAGCAGAACAGGCAGATCAACAAAGTATACTGCTGAGGGGAGCAGCAAGAGAGACAAGAGAGATCTGCTGGCACCTCACAAGGAAGCAGCTTCACAGTGCAGTGCTGCGCTTTAACATGTTGCACCACCAGGAATGCCCGAAGTATTTTGAAGTATTTATATTTTCTAAGAAATGGCCAAACTGTCTTCCCAAGTGGCCAGTTTGCACCCTACCAGCAGTGAAAGCAAATTCCTCTTGCTCCACGCCCCCGCCAGCATTTGGTGGTGTCAGTGCTCCTGAGTTTGGGCATGAAAGCTGTCCTTTTTCTTCTTCTTCTTTTTTTTTTTTTTTTGCCTCACTGCATTGGCGGGGCCTCTGCCAGCGTGCTGTATAGGATGGACAAGCGCTGACATTCTATCTCATTTCCACTGTCAGAGAGAAAGCATTCAGCCTGTCATCTTTAAGCAGGATGTTTCTGCAAAGTTTTTGTTTGGTTTGGGGTTTTACACTTGTTTCTTGGAGGATTTGGCTTGTGTAGAAATCTTTATCAGATTAAGGAAGGTCTCCTATTGCTAATTTGTAGGAATTTCTGTTGATGTAAAGACTATCTTCGGAATCTGTTGGAAGTTCCTGTGGCTTTCATTTCTCTCTCTCTGTTATTGTGGGGAATTGTATTAATTGAATTTTTGGAGAGTGAATGGCTCTTACCAACCTTTGTTCCCACTGGGCTTTGCAGGTTCTAGGTCAAGTCCACTAGATTGAGCTCTTGAGCTGTGGTCCTGGACAATGTCCACACCCCATCCTGTGCAGGGCCCTAGAGACACCCCTTCTCAGCTAACACATACTCCACATTTCAGGCGCAGGAGCGGCTCACCCTTAGAACGCCGCGGGCTCTGAGCCAGTGAGGCCCAAGGCACACAGCCCTGGCTGAACCTTCTCGCAGCAGACCCTAGCGTTGCTAGGACCCCTGGGTGGGAAGAGGCAAACGAGCAGGTCTTGGCCTCAGCCCCACACCCCTGAGAAGGAGTCTCCAGGGCTCTTGCTGCTTCCCCACCCCGCCTCCAGCGCCAGCCTCCTTTAAGAGCGGTGCAGAGAGCGTCTCTGGGGCCGGAGGCGACCGGCGCCAAGAATGCGGGGCTCCGACCGGAGCGAGAGGGATGAGGTTTCACCGGGTAGCCTTCCCCTCCACGTCCCCCCAGCGCGTCTGCCCGGGGTCTCGCAGCTTCTACCTCCAGGACCCGCCCCCAACTTCAACAGTGCCTCCCCGCCCGCTTGCCCATCTTCTTGCACATTCACACTCGCACCTGGATGCTCCAGTAGGAGCCCAGGATCCGGCTTCAGTTCCAGCCTCACTCCTGGGCGCGGGCTCTCGTCGGAGCCCCTAAGGCCGCGGGCGGGGCGGAGGACCCGGCGCCCCAGGCAGCCTCATCCACATGCAGAGGACGACGCGGCGCTGCGGCCGCCAGGAAGGGACAAAGGCTGTTCCGCCGCTCGCCGCACTGTGCCAGGCTCACCCGCCCGCCGCCCTGGTGGCCCCCGACGCGGCCCCCCTTGTGTCTGCTCCACCGGCCTGGTGCATACAACCCAGGCGGCTTCTGGGAAGCGGCAGCCTACCTCGGTCCCAGCAGGCCAGCCTCCTTCTGCAACCTCGGGAGCCTCACCCTCTTCCTGGCAGTTGGGGTGACCCGTCTCCTAGATCCAGCCAGTCTGCGCGTGGGTCCCAGCAGAGATCTGAGTTCTAGTTCACTGATCAATGGTCGGGATCTGCAGGTGCAACGTGCCAGAGGCAGCGAGAGGTGGGGAATTGGATGAGGGAGAATAGGGACTGGGGCAGAATCCCTTCCAGAACTCCCACAGACGTGGGGTCCCTTCTGGATGAGGCGTGTGAACTCCCAGATCCCCCTCCCCCACTCCTGTCTCCCAGACTGTTGATGATGAGAGCCTAGGGTCGCCTGACCCTCACAGCTTCCTGCAGGCAGCCCGCACCCTGCTAGAGCGCCCTGCCTTAGGCGCCTGGGAGCCTGTGTCAGAAAGGGTCAGCCTAGCCCTGGCACGGGCTCTGCTACTTAACTCTGAGCCTCAGCTTCCACCGGTAAAATGGACCCAACCTCCACCCCTGTCCCCCCCCACGCGTTCCGTGCTAGATTAAAGGTCTGTGAAATGGCTGGTACCGCGGGTTCCCAAAGCACAGACAACAAACACTTTGCCCACGTCCTCAGTTTCCCTGAGGGCAAGGACAGCTGGGAGGGGGGCGCACCGCTTGGCCCTCAGTCCTCCCCCCCCCAACCCCCCACCGATGGAGGTAACTCAAGCAGCGGGAAGTTCGCTCCTTCCTTAGCTCCACTGGGAAGTTCTTCCCAGGTCTGCCCAAGTCTCTCCTTCCTTCTCTCCAGGCCAGGATGGGGGTGTGGGGATGGGGGCGGGGGAGTCCCCTTTAAGGAAGGCGGGGGAGGGGGCTGCCGACCCGCCCTCCTTCCGCCGCTTCCCGCCCCCCGCCGCCCCGGGCCCCGGGCCCGGGCCAGGCGCCAGCGCATGCGCCCGCCTGTGGGCGCTGTCCGGGCTGCGAGAGCGGTGTGCGCACCGACAGACGGACGGACCGACGGACTGGCCGCCGGTCGGACAGACCCGGCAGCACAGGGAGCGGGGACGCGGCGGGACAGCGATATGGTCGGCCATACACAGCAACCAGGGGGGCGCGGGAATCCCGGCCCAGGGCCCTCGCCCTCCCCCGGCCCGGGTCCTGGCCCCGGTGCCTCGGATCGGGTGGCCCTCAAGAAGGAGATCGGGCTGGTGAGCGCCTGCACCATCATCGTCGGTGAGCAGGCCCGAGGCGGGTGGGTGCCCAGGGCAACGAAAGGAAGGCTGGGGGTTCTGGGGGGGGGGGTGCGTTGTGGCTCCGAATACCCCTTCCCCCTCCCTCCTACAGGTCTTCGATTTGGCAGATTTGGCACGGGTTGCGGGTATCCTGGGATCTCCTTCCTTGTAAGGGGCCTCACAAAGCAGCCTGCTACAAGGCTTCCCACCTGCCCGGCCCCCAAATTTTTGCACCTGAGCAGGTCAACCCTGGAATCCTTCTCCTGTCTTGACACTGCTGTGGGGCACTTCCACTCCTTCCCTCATCTGTGAAATGGAGATGATGCAGCCCCTGGGTGCTGGACTCTTGCAAGAGTGTGGGGCTGAGCAGGCTGACCCTGGCCAAGACACCAGGTTCTGGGCTCTGGCTCAGCTGGGTGGCCCTACTGTGTGCAGGGCCCTGGTGCGATGCAATAGGGGATTTATTATTGGAAGGCAGTAGGGGCAGACTGAGCTGGTGGAGCTGGCGGGAGGGAAATGGGTTCAGAGCATATAAGTAACCACACTGTTGGTGGCAAGACTCCTGGCAGAAAGTGGAGCTGCCAGTGACTGAGGGAGGCCAGTGGCCAGCGGGCAGGCCAAGCCTGCAGAAAAGCCAGCGCCTCCCTGGTTTGGGATTCATGCAGGTGCAGGAACCCTCTGACTCTCTGGTCTTACTCTCTCACCTGAGAAAGGGTCTGTGTCCCAGCCCCACAGGCAGGCTCCTGGCAGAGGCCTCAGGAGACATGTCCCAAGTCACAAACACTGACTTGGTCAAGAGCCAGACCTGTGCCTGTGTCCACACGGGGCCTCCGAGGCCTGTAGGCAGCTGTCTGTTCCATCTTTTGTGTCCCAGGAGACATGGGAGAATGGGGAGGAGGAGTGTCAGGGGTTCTGGCTGCTTTCACTACTCCCCAATCAGTGCACCCACTCTCCCCACCCAGACCTCTGGGGACTCAAGAAGACAGACCCCAGTCTTCCCTTTCTCCTCCTCTGGGATCTCCTGGAGTAGGGTTGGGGCCTGGCCCTTGGTCACCTTCCACACTCACACCTGAACACAACTGTGGGCAGGTAGCTCCTGTCTCACACTCTTGCCCCTGGAATGGTATTGCCTGGGAGTTGGTTCTGATCTGACTCAGTTGGCTTCTTGGTCTCCAGGCCCCAGCTTGACTCTCCTGGGAGGAAGGACTAACAGTGCTGTGTCAGTGCTTTGTCCTGGCCTCTCCACACCTGCGTCTCCAGGAAAGGAAGCTACATTCATGGGATCACGGGTGGGCCATGGAGGCACCGTGTCTGAGCCAACTACCCTGCCAGGTAGTGGAGAGACACAGCTCTTCCCAGCTGCCTCAACCAAGGCCTGTCCCTAAGCTATGTTCTTCTCCTGCCCACTCCCTGAATACCCCCCTAGCCCCCCTGCCAGGTCAGGAAAGTCTGCTGGCTTCTATTTCCTCAAAAGAGGGTCCTGGTGGAAAGTGGGGGGGCAGCTTCACCATCACACCTCTCCAGGACAGATGGTGGAAGAATGTCCCCATGAAGCCCAGCTCTGCCCTCCAGTCCCCTTCTGCCCTCTGCTCCCTTGGCTGTTCTGAGCCACTACCCGCTTAGCCTCTGGACCTTAAAAGCTGAGCTGGGGTGAAGGTGACTTAGCCAGAGATGACAGAGTCAGGAACAGAACTCAGATGATCTGACCCCAGGCCAGGACACAGTGGTTGCCCTACAAGCTTGCTTGGGGAGCAGCGGGGGTTAGAACAGGCAGCAGACAGACAAGGAGAGAATGAGCCAGGCTGGGAGGTGACAGGAGATGAGGGAGGAGGCGAGTGGGGCTCAGTCTGTGTCTGCTCTCTCCCCTCTTCCTTAAAGGGCTCCCCTTATTCACTGCCAGGGACCTACCTCTCCAGCTGACCCCACCTTCCTGCCCTGGGAGGGCCTGTCCTAGTCAAAAATGTCTGCAAAGTGTCACGTCTTGGCTTCAAATATCTTGAGAACTACCTTCTGCCCACAATCTTTCTTATCTGCTACCAGAAACTGAACTTATGTCCCAAACCTCCAATGTGACCCTCCCAGCAGATCTTGTGGTTCTTCCCCCTTGTCCCCTCGCCCTGTCTTGGACTGAGGAGTGGATCTTTCAGGAGGGGCAGGAGACTTTGGGTTGGAGTGAGACTCCACCTAAAATGAGTTCAGTAGAGCAGCTGGAGGGGACCAGACAATGCAGAGGGGTCACGCAGCCAGGCCCACAGCTGTGGGAGGCCCCAGGCACTACCCGGAAAAACCTGTCATGTTCTGGAAACATGTTCTTGCATGATCCTAGGTGGTTCTCTGGCACCTTGCAAGTTGGGGATTTTTATGTCCGTTTTACAGATGCAGAAACAGGTCAGATGCTCACTGCTACCAAGGTGGATTCATCTCCCAGTCCAGGGCCCTTCTTCACACTAATCTAGTGCTCGCAAAGATGAGACCAAATTCAAAGAGTGAGATGGGAAAAGGCTGGGGACGGTGCTGGAAGCTTGTCCAACCAGGGTTCCCGAGCCCCACATGCCACTGTGGATGGAGGAACAAATAAGTGGACAGAGAAATCGCCCCTGATGTCCCACCCTTGCCTAGGACTGAATGCACAGAGTCTCAGGTCCCACCCAGCACCCTCGGCCGGCGCTCACTTCTGATCCACACCCAAGGAAGGGCCTGCCAGGGCCCGGGGAGTGGGTCACCCTGGGCCCAGGCTGCCTGTGCCCTCGTCTCTCTCTCTGACTCTGGTGCCTGTGCAGGCATTTACAGGTTGGGCTCAAGTGTGTCCAGTGACTTACTGAACCCCAGCTCCTTACTCACCAGTCCCTGCCCCCCACCATCCTCAGCCTGGTCCCTCCAGAGCAGAGGTAGCCCAGCAACTCAGAGCAGACCTCTCTCCAAAACTCCATCCCCTCTATGCCAGGACCCTGGAGACACATCAAACCACACTGGAGCTGGTTTGTGCCTCCCCATTGCCCCAGTAGACAGATAAGACAACTGAGTCCCTACAGCTGCAGCCAGCCCAGGTCACATGCCCTTGGTGTGCTCTGGACACCCTGGGGACCAGGGTTGCTTAGGCCACAAGTTGGGGGGCTGCGGGCCCTGGACACACTGGTTTACCTGTTCCACAGTGAGATACTGAACATGCTGGCTGCTGTTCTGGGTGCTCTAAGCAGCAGGGAACAGAACAGACAAAACCCCCGTCCTCCCGGAGCGGATATCCTGGCATGGAAGTCAGACAGACCAGCGGCTAGCCAGGCAGCCCGGGAAGCGTGACAGGAGCCTGGGCTCAGGATGGGCAGAGGTGTGAGTGGCATGGCGGCCCTGTGGGGAGGGCTGGAGAGGAGGGTGGCTCAGAGCAGGTGGCGGCCGTGCAGGCGCAAAGAAGAGGTGCATTTCTGGGTATTTGCAAGGTAGCACCCAAGTGTTTGTGAGGAACTGAGTGCCAGGTGTGGGAGACAGGGAGGCGCCAGGGCCACGAGAGGTTTGGGAGAGTCATTGACTGCTAAGGGGCAGGGGTTTCCCCTCCCGGCCTCCTCTTGAACACATGAGCCTTGCAATGCCTGTTTGTTGAGATGTCCAGGTTGAGTAGCAGAGAGGACCTTGCTGTGGCTTTTCAGTTGGGAGTTCCCACACAGGCTGGGAAGCTGGGTGAAGCCTCCAAGGGGGGTGTGTGGAGAAAGGGAAGTTGGAGGGGGAGGGTTGGGAGGAGGAGAGAGGAACCAGCAGATGTTCCTGGCCTGCCGGGCAGGAGGAGGCATCCTGGGCCGTGAGGTTCGGCAGTATGAGCGCATCATAACCTTGAAGCGCTGGGTCTGGAGACAGCACAGAAGAGGCTTGGAAGGTGTGGCCAGCCTGGGCTACTTGCGCCTGGCAGGGAGAGTACCCAGCTCCCACTCATCAGTCTCTCGAAAGAAAAGTGGGGTTGGCCAAAGGTGCTTGCTGGCCAATTGGCAATTCCAGGCATGGCCTGGAAATGTCCCCACTCACCTCCCAGGGATTCTGCCAAGCCCTCAGAAGGAAATTCTCCTTGCACCCCCAAAGGGTACCTGACATGTGTTCATCTTAAGAACACTGCTGAACTTGGAGGCTCTATCCAGGGCAGCAGGACCCCCAAGGCAGGGCCCCGCCTGCCGACCCCAGAGTCTAGCAGCCCCACGGGAGTCCAGGCTGGGTGGCCCGGTCCAGGCCTCCCATGTGCCAGACAGGAGCAGAGCGTGCTGGCATCCCTACCTCTTCTCTCCACTTTAAGAAGGCCCAGCGCAGTGAAGTATCTGATCCAGACCCCCACGATGAGGAATCTGGGATTCAAACTTAGATCTGGGGGCTCTGGCTTAGTCAGTGTCCCTGACCATTGCCTCAGGGGCTTTGGAACCTACCAGTGCCTATTTGGAGCTCTTTCCCAGAGGCCTCGGGGCATGCCCCACCAGGGAGGTGCTGGGCTCGTGGCCCAGAGCAAGAGAGGCCTGGCCTTTCTGAGGCCCAGGAGCCCCAGGCTGCTGTCTGTCAGGCCAGCAGGCCAGTGTGACACGAGGCCCACTGAGGCCAAGCTCCCTGAAAGAGAAAGGGCAACGGGGATGATCTAGGCCCATGGGTTTCCCTCTCATTTCAGTACACGCCCTGGGGTGCAGGATAACAAAAGGGTCACTCCCTGGTCATCTGCCAGGCACCATGGGAGTAGGGCAGGGTCCAGATCATAGGGGCCAAGGTGGGTGGTTGGAGAGGGCTGCCTGGTTCTCTTCTGGAAGACCAGTGTACTGGGGAGAGACCTGCCATGGTAGGGACAAGGCCCTGACTGTTGTCATGGGGCCCTTACAGATGTTCAGGGTGCACCCCCACCCCTGCCCCGTAGTGCCTGTGCAGAAGTCAGGGTCAGACTAGCCCTCTGCTGTCCCCTCATCCAGTGGCCCCTCCTGGCAGGTGGGGAAACTGAGGCCCAGAGGGCAGCACTGGCCTGAGATCACACAGCCAACTCCTGAAAGTGTTTCTAGAGATGAGAGTAGTGACGGGAGCTCCCTGCCCCCTCCCCAAATCAGACTCAGCACATTCCCCCCACATACCCTGAGGACAGCTGGCTCTTCCCACCCGCATGACCGCGACCTCCACAGTCCGCCCCACGACCTCCATGGTCGGCCGCTGGCTCCCAGAAATAGGTCAGCGCACACCGCAGTGGCCGGGGGAACAATGGCCCTTTCTTCCTCCTCTGGGAGCTGGGTAAGCCCCATCAGGCCAAACATCTTAATGTGATAAAAGCCACCCAGAGCGGGCTGAGGGAAGAGGGGAGGGAGGGGGCTGAAGGGGGTCTGTGGGTAGGGAGACTCACGTCCTAGCCCACCTGCTTACGATCTCGGGCCCCCACCAGGCCTTGCAGGAACCCAGCACCGCCATTCCACTGGGTGGGCAGAAATGTGGAGGTCACAGAACCCTCATTTCGCCCACCTGCTGTAGGTCAGACTTCTGACTGGTGGTTGGCGTCTCCCTGGGTCATCCCACCTGCCTGTGCCTGGTCCCTGCTCCCCTTACTTGCTCCAGAGTGGGAACCCCTGTGGAGTGGGCTTGTCCCATGATGTCCCTCAAGTCAGCAGAGCTGATTCTTCTGGGCCTGAGCCTGAGGTCTGAAAAGGGTGGCTTGAACCTGCCACCACCAAGAGGACTGGGCAGGCACCTCCAGCACCCCTTGCAGACCCTTCTTCACACCCCTGTGGCCACCTGAAAGCTGAAGTCCCCACCCCAACATCAGCATCTCCCTCCTCCTCACCCTCCAAGGCTTCCCCAAGGCCACGGCTCCTTGCAGAGCAGCTACACACCAGCCGCCCACCCCCACACCCTTACCCACCCCTGCCCAACCCCACTCTGCTGCATGGTGTCAGGAGTAGCCAGTGAATCTTCATGGGATTTTCTGCCACCTTCCAGCACAAACCTGGGGCAGAGGCCAGAGGTTGTCCAGGCCAAGAGGAGGAGGCCCCTGGGGACCTGAGATGCCAACAGGCATAAGTGTTCCTTTGAATCTGAGAAATCCTGCACTCTAGCCTGGGGTTCTAACCTGCCAGAATGAAATGTGCAGATTGTCAAGGTCCCAGGGGCTCAGGGCCCTGGACACCCCCAGCCCAAATCCACCCAGCTCCTTCCAAGGCCACCCAGCCCCTGCTGGCTGACAACCTCCCTGGCTTTTGGCAAATCCTGCTCCATGAGGTCCTGAGAACAGGCTTGCTGCTGGATAGAGTGAAGTCAAAAGCGCCTTAGAAACCCGATGGCCCACCCAGGCACCAGGCCCTCATGGTGGATGGGGGAGGCAGCCCCTCTCCCCTGGAAGCAGGCTGAGGGCACTGCTTACCTCTGCAGGCCGGGAGACAGGAATTCTTTCCTCCTTATCTGGATGTATTTAGGGCTCCTGGGATGTGACTGGAAAACCAAGTGGGGCATCACGGCTGTCAGACTGGAAATGCGTGGAGGGTAGACAAGGAATGCATGCAGATAGGTGGCCATAACTGTCCTCGTCCAGTCCCGCCTGAGGGCCTGGCAGGTGGAGCAGGCAGGTGCTGCTGTGACAGAGAGGAGCTGCCCTTCTCCCCAGGCTCTGGTTGGGTGGGGGGGGCATCCTTTTCGAGGGGATCACCGCTGGTTCCAGCCCTGATGCTTTTGTATTCATGCGGTCAGTCCCTGGCTTCTGGTGTTATTTCCTCTTAGGCAGGCCCCAGTGCAGTTCTCCAGTGACATGACCTGATTCATTTGCACAGGTGTTGAATGCCAGGTAACCCAGAGCCCTAACTGCCAGGGTCCTCGGGACTGGAGGGGCACGCATCCTGGGAACCTCCTCTGCTGACCATGGCTTGATCCTCTGAGCATTCCCCCTAGTTTCAGAAAGCAGAGTGGGCACATCCCCTCTCTGTGCTGGACACCGTGAGTCCACATCCCTGCATACCTACCCCAAAACTCAGTGCTCACCCACCAAGATGTCCCTGGCACCCAAGCTCACAGTTTCTCCTGAGGACGGCTGCCCCGCTTCACAGATGAGCAAACAAGCCTTGACAGCAGGGCTTTGAGGTCACTTGGGCATCAGACCAGTTACTCAGCAGGCATTTATTGAGTACCTACTATGTAGGAGGGGGCTGGGGTGACTGAAGCAGGTACAGCTGCTGGCTGTGAAAAGCCTGAAGACAGCAAGATAGAATCACACAATGAAGATGCAAAGTCCATCCGGGGACAACTGTGAATGAGCCAAGGGCTTCCCACCCTGCATCTTGCTGAAAACTCACAATAGCCCCGTTGTGCAGACTGGACACAAGAGGTGACCTGAACAGAGAGAAGTCCCCAGGCCTCTTGAGCTTCTGTGGGCTTCCCACTGTGGCCCTGGGATTAAAGCAGTGACCCCTGTTTGTAGCCAGTGGACTGTCCCAAGGCGAGAGGCCATCTGTCCAGACCCAGGCCAGGCCAAGAGTCTCTGCCAGCCTGCCACTGCCCACCCCATCCCTTCCGTGGTGGCTGGTGACCAACCCCAGCCCTGAAAATGTACCAGTTCTTTTCCTTCACCCCACTGGCCCTTGCCCAAGACCTGAGACATTTCAACAGTGCCAGGAAACAAGGTCTCTTCAGAGCTTGTGTCTACAGCCTGGGCCCTAGGGCAGGGAGGAGCCCAGGAAGCAGATGGCAGGGTGCGGGGCAGAGGACAGGAGTACCCTGGTTCTGGAAAAAAGAGAGAGAGCACAAGAAAGAAATCACAGAACAGTCTGGAGGACCACAGGGCTATAAAGTAGGAAAAAGCCCCAAACCGTCATTGATCCTGGGGGACTTCAGGGAGGAGGTGCCACTCACTGTATGAGTCTGGACCTTGGCCACTAGCAGAGTGGCAGGAGAGCATCACAGTTACGGCATTGCTTTGGGACAGCAGATGGGAGGGAGGACAATGACCGGAGCCTGACAGCCTTGGGAAGGGCCAGGGCCTGAGGTTCTCTGCCCTCACTCGGGCGACTAGGCACCTGCATGTTCCTGTACGACCTCATGGGAGAAAGGATCCGTCCCTTTCAGGGGAGGCTTGATGGATGGGCAAGGTGCCACTCCTCGTGCCAGAAATTGGGGAGGGGAATGACGAGTCCACTGGACTCGGAGGGCCGGGGACACTCAGTGGTGTCCACCTGACACTCATCCTGCTCCTCTGGGGGGCAGCCCGTGCTCCCTTCCTCTCTGCAGCGTCAGAAGCCCCATGGAAAGGGCTGCAGAGGGGATCCTAGGACCTAACGCAGCCCTGTCTCTCCCCCACAGGGAACATCATCGGCTCGGGCATCTTCATCTCCCCTAAGGGGGTCCTAGAGCACTCAGGCTCTGTGGGTCTGGCCCTCTTCGTCTGGGTCCTGGGTGGGGGCGTCACTGCCCTGGGCTCCCTCTGCTATGCTGAGCTGGGAGTCGCCATTCCCAAGTCTGGCGGGGACTATGCCTACGTCACCGAGATCTTCGGGGGCCTGGCTGGGTGAGTGTGGGGCCCCAGCGGGGCAGAAGACAGCCTCTCGGGAAGGGGCCTCAGTTCCCTCCACTGCTTCCAACATCATGAGACGGTCATGGAGGTGGGTGGCGGGAAGGGAGCAGGCAGGCTGAGCTACCTTTCAGGGCCAGGCGGGCTGGAGCAAGGGCCACCCCAGGCCAGCCGGACACCCTAGCGGACTCTTGACCTCTCCATGTATCTTTTAAAATGAGCTACATTTTAAAATGGTGCTTAGGCTGCTTATGGGCGGGTAGGCCTTTATTACCAGAAACCTCCAGACAACAGCAGCATCCAGGCCAGGAGGGACCTTGAGTTTAGTAAACTCACATATAGGGGGAGGGGCATGGTGTTCCACTCAACACCCCAGACATTCCTTTGCTCACCTCCGAGTGCCTGCCCTGTGCTGAGGGCCAAGAACCACGCCAGTCTTCAAGCTGCTCCCTGTGCAGGAGGGAAGCCTGTTCTGCAGCCACTCAGGCCAGATTAGACCCAGAGAACCACTCTGAGGTGTGTGGAGGGGGTATGGACAGGCACAGCTTAGCAGCTGAGAGAATGGAGGGCACCACCTAGGCCAGGTCCCAGGAAAAGCCATTTTTGCAGCAAGGCCTGGAGAAAGGGTGGAATTTTCATAGCTAACAGACAAGGGGGTGCCCATGGGGGTGGGGGGTCGGCTGGGTGAGCTTGGCCAATGCACCAGGGCTGGAGGGGAGGGGAAGCGGGTCCATGGCCGACCTGGGGCTCTGAGAAGCCAGGAGGCAAGGGGCCCAGTCCAGCAGAGCCACACTGACGGCCTGCGCCAAGGGCCTGGCGGGTTCCAGAATCTTTCAGGAGCCAGAATCAGGAGGCAGCGGTGGCTCCAGGTGTGCTTGGCCACTGGAGAAGCTCTGCACACGGCGACCCTCAGTCTGTCATGGTGGTGGGGCCGGTGGCATATCCAGGGAGGTGCAGTCAGTTCTGGGGCAGAGCTTAGCCCTAAGAGGAAAAGCCTGGGGGATGATAGAATGTCTTTAGGGGAACAGTCAAGGGCGGGGCTCTGGCGGGCTATCAGGACCCTGGGGAAGAGGATGGAAAGGGGGAAGGGCCAAGGGACACCCACATTGAGGGGGGCAGAGGGGAGCAGCCAGTGTGGAAAGGCCATGGAGCCAAAATGCCTAGGAACCAAGGGGCGGGGGAGGGGTTGTACAGCAGAGTAGGAAGCAGGGTCTGGGAGAAGCTGAGGACCCAGAGGAGGCCACTGACCTTGGTGCCCAGAGGTCGCTAGTGTCTCTGGGTGAGACAGGATGGGCTGGATGGGGCTGAGCTCCACCCCAAGGACAGGTTCACCCCTGGGCACAGGCAGGGTCCCCAGGAACAGAGAAGCCTCACAGCCTTGAGCAGAGCCTCCTCCCACAAGGGCACCCTGCAAGGCAAAATTTGGGCAGAAGGGTCATAAGTCACCACAGCAGGGTCTGTCCCAGGCCCTGTCCCTGAATGCCAGAGGTCTCCTGGGACCACCGCTCAGGGCCAGCCCCATGTGGACACAGGCCCTGCTGAAAGCCACAGCTGGAGCCATGACTGGCCATCCCTGCGGGATTTGGCTCCCCAACCCTTGCCCACTCCTCTGAGGGCAGCCCCTCGCTCCTTAGCTATGCTGAGCCCCGTTTCCACTGAAACAGCCCCTAAATACATAAGTCCAGACCCCAACATCCAAGCCAGTGCCCACGCCACTCAGCCCTTGCTCATTCCAGCTTCCTGCTTCTCTGGAGCGCCGTCCTCATCATGTACCCCACGAGCCTGGCCGTCATCTCCATGACCTTCTCCAACTACGTGCTGCAGCCCGTGTTCCCCAACTGTATCCCCCCCGCCACTGCCTCCCGTGTGCTTTCCATGGCCTGTCTGAGTGAGTGCCCACCCCAGTGACCCAGCCCCACTGCCCCCTGAGCCTGTGCAAGTGATGGGGGTTCCCTCCAGCTGCCAGTCCCCAAGAGGTTGGCCAGCTTCAGGGAATAGGGCCCTCCTGCAGCGAGGGGTTCCCCTCAGGCATCCACCACCCACTTCTCCCCAGTGCTCCTGACGTGGGTGAACAGCTCCAGCGTGCGCTGGGCCACACGCATCCAGGACATCTTCACGGGGGGGAAGCTGCTGGCCCTGTCGCTCATCATCGGTGTGGGCTTTGTCCAAATCTTCCAAGGTAGGGCCAGGGTGGGGCTGTGCACCGGCTGGGGGGACAGAGGGGGCTTCAGGGCTGACCCTTGACCTCTGGCCCTCCCAGGGCACTTTGAGGAACTGAGGCCCAGCAATGCCTTCGACTTCTGGATGACACCCTCCGTGGGTCACCTGGCCTTGGCCTTCCTGCAGGGTTCCTTTGCCTTCAGCGGCTGGAACTTCCTCAACTATGTCACTGAGGAGCTGGTTGACCCTCGAAAGTGAGTGGCGCGCCCAGCCAGGCCCTGGAAAGGGGGCGTGGGGGGGAGCGGTGGGAAGGGCTGCCTCTCCCTGCTGCTACCAGCAGCCCCGTCTTGCCTGGCCATGCACGTTGCCCAACAGGGAAGGCCCTGGAAAGCCAGGGATGCTTGCATGTCACAGGCAGGCCCTGACCTCTCTAACTGTGGACACATCACAGCCCCTATGAGCCTCAGAAACGTTGAGTACCCTTGTCCCCTTTTAAATGAATGCAGCTATTTGCATTTGGCTACAAATTGCACACGTGCGCAAATGAAGCCAGAGCGTGCATCCAAGGCTCAGCTGAAGAGCCTGCAGTGAGCAGTTGCAGCTGGGCGATGGGGTGTATCCAGGGGGGTCCTAGGTCTGTGGCCTGGGCTCTCTGTCTCTGATTATGGACAGAGCACTTGAGGCGTTTTTCAGGCCGATTCTGGCCAGAGGCAGTTTGCTGTCTATGTGCAGACATCAGACCTGCCCTTGCCGCAGCGCACGCCATTGCTACCCCCTTTCCTGCCGCCAAGGCTGCTGACAAGTGAATGAGGTAGAAACTCAACGATGCACCTGTTGCTGGGCCTCTGTCCCAACATCACCCCGAAGCCCAGTCCCCCACACCCTGCAGGCTGACACCGCCGCTGACACCCCCCCCATCCCACCCCACCCCCACCCCCACCCAGGAACCTACCTCGCGCCATCTTCATCTCCATCCCGCTGGTGACCTTCGTGTACACCTTCACCAACATAGCCTACTTCACTGCCATGTCCCCCCAGGAGCTGCTGGCCTCCAATGCAGTGGCCGTGGTGAGTGGGGCCCCGCCCGGTGCTGGGCTCTCGTCCATGCCCACCCTGCCTCATGCGCGGCTCTCTTCTGTGCCCACTCAGACCTTCGGGGAGAAGCTGCTGGGCTACTTTTCTTGGGTCATGCCCGTCTCCGTGGCACTTTCCACTTTCGGAGGGATCAATGGCTACCTGTTCACCTCCTCCAGGTGACTGGACTGGGAGAGGGTGGTCAAGGTGAGGCAGGGCAGGTGCCCTGTCACGCACCCGCAGTGCCTGGGCCCTGAGGAAGCGCAGTCCTGCCGGGTGGAGCCCACCTGAAGCCGGGGTCCAGACTGCCACAGAAGCCAAGGTCTGACCTCAGCTCCCGGGTACAGAGAGCAACAGGGAGGCAGTTAGATGAGGGGAAGAATGCCCAGTGGGCCCAACGGGGCCTGGAGCGGGAGGTCAGTGGTGACAGCTCGAGGGACATCTGATCCAGAGCTGAGTCCAGGATCCGGCCAGCAGAAAGGCCCCGGGTCAGGCTCATGGCCCCCACCCGTCTCTGTGCCCACACGCCAGGCTGTGCTTCTCCGGAGCCCGAGAAGGGCATCTGCCCAGCCTGCTGGCCATGATCCATGTCAGACGCTGCACCCCCATCCCTGCCCTCCTCGTCTGCGTAAGTTGGGGGACCCAGGCAGGACACGGAGCCAGGGCAGCCCAGCCATGCGGGACTTGCTTTGCTGATAATGGCAGGGAAGAGCTCTAGCCTGGTGGGCAGCTCATGGCTGGAGAGGGGGCCTGGGTTCTCCAACACCCTGGTCTGAGCGGGCTGGGCCCGGGCAGGAGGCCCGTAGAGGCTAGACCTCAGCCCGGTCCTCTCCCAGTGTGGGGCCACGGCGGTCATCATGCTCGTGGGAGACACATACACGCTCATCAACTACGTGTCCTTCATCAACTACCTCTGCTATGGCGTCACCATTCTGGGACTGCTCGTGCTGCGCTGGAGGAGGCCTGCCCTGCACAGACCCATCAAGGTGAGGCCAGGGCGGCCAGGCTGGGCAACGTCCGGGAGCCTGGGTCCCGGGGACAGGTGGCGACTGAGTGACAAAGTTGAGCCTTGCCCAGGGCCTCGTGTGCACTGATGCGTCCAGCTCCTGTAACGCCCAAGAGGTGGGCACTTTTAACTGCCCCAATTTATAGACAGGCAGCAGAGGCTAAGACATGTGCTCAGGGTCACACTGGATCCCTCAAGACCACACCAAAGCCAGAAAACTCTAAATAGAGAAGCAAGGACAGCGTTCCTGTGTGCACGGAGTAAAACCTCGTGCTTCGTGCCTGAATTGGAAAAGACCAAAAAAGCTGACCCTCAGCTAAGTGAGAGTGGCGAGTCCACATACGAAGGCCACGACGCCTCAGAGCTGCTGAAACAGCCACATCCCCCAAGCTGGCCAGCTGGCTGTCATGATTGGCTTCCAGCATGCTGGGTGCTGCCAGAAGGGGGGGCCCTCAGACCTCAGCTTCCAGGAGAGGATGGCCAGGCCCAGGTGGGGGCAGGAGAGCAGGGGCCTGTGGCTTTGGCGCTCCTGCTTGCTCCTCGCTCTCCCTCAGGTAAACCTCCTCATCCCCGTCACATACTTGGTCTTCTGGGCCTTCCTGCTGGTCTTCAGCTTCATCTCAGAGCCCATGGTGTGTGGGGTCGGGGTCATCATCATCCTCACGGGCGTGCCCATTTTTTTCCTGGGAGTGTTCTGGAGAAGCAAACCAAAGTGTGTGCACAGACTCACAGGTGAGCAGGTAGCCTGCTGAGGTGGGGGCTCCCCCTACAGCAGGGTCTCCCCAGAGCTGCGGGGCAGCCATCACAAACATCTGCCCGCCAGTGTCCAGACGCTACCCCCAGAGGGAATAACTCCCTGGGGGCCCCTGCCTGCAGGATCAGACCCCCAAGGTCCATCTGTCTGTGTGTCTGTCTGTCCTTAGAGTCAATGACACGCTGGGGCCAGGAGCTGTGTTTCGTGGTCTACCCCCAGGACTCCCCGGAGGAGGAGGGGAACGGCCCCTGCCAGCCCTCCCCGCTGCCCACCACGGACAAGCCTTTGAAGACGCAATGAGACATTTGCAGGGCACGAAGCAGCTGTTTCTGTTTACACGTTGTTTATTGAGGAGGTGTTTTTGCCACAACTTCTTTTTTTTCCTGGGAAAAAAAAAAGATCCAATTCTTAGAGGCCTGTGGCGAGGAAGCCCTGAGGATGCGGCTGGGCTCCCGTCAGCACTGCCCGGCTAGATTTGCCTGAAAAGATCTATGAATAAAACAGGGCTGGTGGTGAGCTCGGCTCAGGTCAGTCCCTGGTGGGTGTGACCCCCAGAGGGCACGCATGGAGCTGGCTGGGAAGGAGCCCGGCTGGCTGCGAGGCCCTGGCCTCCCAGGCGCTGTCTCTGGGGCTGGCTCTGTGGGCTCCAGGATGTGACCCCTGACCCCAAGGATGTCACTGGGGAAGTCACTGAGTGCCAGCTCCTGCCACCCCAGCCGGAAGCTCAGAACCCTGTGCACAGGGATTCTTCCTGCAACTTCCTTCCCATACACTACCCCCAAGTGGGTATCAAAATTCAGAGCTCACAGTCTCACCTTAGTTTACAGGTGGGGAAACTGAGGCCCTTGAGACAGGATGGGATGGATTTGGCCACTGTTTGTAGGCACCATGGCCTCTGTCCCTGAGAAAGCATACTGCAGCCTCTCTGGGGCCTCAGGGACTGCAGGGGACCCTGTGGGCTTCCTCTACCCTGTGCCCACATCCCCAGCCCTGTCCTAGTGTCCAGATTGACCCCTCAGCCAGAGAGCAAAGGAAAAAGCTATCAAGCTGGCCAGGCCTGTGCTGACACTCAGACATGAGGAGGGAATAGAAACCTGCTGGTGCAGCTCCTCCTGGACCCTGCAGAAGGGGGAGGGGGCACCATACCCACAGAGTGCCCACCGTGGGCTAGTCATGGCCTGTTTAGAACAGCTCTGCTGCCCGGCAGGTGAGTGAGGCCACGGGAAATACTCAGAGAGCCCTGCCCGGCCCTCCTGCTTCTCTGGCGATGGAGTCCCAGAATGGAGGGGAAGAGGAGAAGTGAGACCCCAGGGTGCCTGTGTGCACACTGGGCCTGCAGAGGGCTTGTCACTGACCCCCACCATGCCCCCAGGGGCCGGGAAATGCTGATGCAGCAGGCTGGCTGGACTCCGGGTGTCCTCTCTGTAAGAAAGAAGGACGCAGAGGCAGGGTAGAAACAACTGTGTATTCCCTGGTTACAAAGCGGGGCTGTGGCGGTCACCAGCATGTCCAGTGGTCAGCAGACCAGCAGGGCCTCATCATCACTGACCTCTGATGTTGGGGAGCAGGGTGGCGGGGGGCTCCTGCAGACACCCATCGGCTCTGTTGGGTGGGGGCCTAGGGTGCTGCTGGCAGTGGGGGCCGCGGGGCGAGAGTCCTGGGCCATGCAGGGCTCCTGAGGCATGTCCACAGGGGCTGGGCTGTCCACCAGAGGGTCCCTGTCCTTGTCCACCAGCCTGCACTCTGGGTCCCGCAGGCTTGAGTGGGGTGGCACTGACGGTGCCACCTCTGGTGCGTGACTGGGGGCGTGGGGGGGACCATCCCCAGCTGCCCCAGGGCTGTCTGTGTCCGTTAAGGGTGCCGGGGTGTCTGGAGTGACCCCGGGTGCGGGCTGGAGGAGCCCATCCCCCAGCACAGTCTGTGAGGTGCGTGCAGCGGTCAGCAGTGGGATCTGTCCTCGAGGTGCTCGCGGCCGATGAAAGAGCCTGTTCCAGAAGCGGCCGAGGCGGCGGCGGGAGGGTCCCCGGCGGGAGGCATGTCGGCGCATCTGTCTCCGCATGGCGGTGCGGAGGTTCTGCAGCACAGAGGCCTGGAGGGTGGGGCCGTGCTGAGGGCAGAGGCCGGCAGCGCCTCCAAGGGCCCAGGACTCCAACACCAGCTCACCCCCCCCCCCCGCTGTGGCCACCGTGTCACTGTGCCCAGGTCCCTCCCCGCTCCATCAACGCCAGACCCTGGCAGTCTGCCCTGGCCTCCTATCTTGGGGGCGCTCTGAGCTGCAACAGGGAGCACTGGGCCTGTGGGGGGGTCCGGTTGGTGCTCACCTGGGATGCACTGTAGACGGGAAAGTCCTCCACGGGCGGAATGAGGCCTTGCGCAATGAGCTGACCATAGGAGGGGGGCGCCTCCCTCCGCACAAACTCGGCCTCCAGACGCGTCATCTGGGTCTCAAAGGCCCTAAAAGCAACGGGCGGAAGAACAGATGGCAGGGTTGGCCAGGCCCCCCACACCCCACCTCCACGCGGCCTCCAGCTCAGGGGCTCAGCAGCAGCTTAAGTCCGTGCCCCTTCAGTCACCCCAAACCCCTCCTACCCCAGTGTGCACAGAACAAAACTCTATGGCTGTGGCCCAAGCCCCTCTGACAATCCCACGTCCCTCCAAAAGGGGGCGCCCCCTCCCGCCTCTTTCCGAGAACTTGAAACCTGGGCTCCGGCGGGCGCTGGGCCGGCAGCGGGGCGGCAGCCCACCTGTACTCTTGCGTGCGCAGGGAGTAGAGCTTGAAGGCGCAGCCCAGGGCGATGACCAGCAGCAGGCCGCACACCAGGCTGCCGATGAGGGCGGCGGTGATGACCTTGCGGGGCACGGCGGCCAGGCAGCCGTGCTCGTCGCTGCCGTCCTGGCAGTCCTCCTGGCCGTCACAGCGCCACGTCTCGAATATGCACAGGTTGGTGCCGCAGTGGAAGGTGCCGGGCTGGCAGGAGAAGCAGTTCTTCTCGTCGGCGCCATCCGGACAGCTCTTCTGGCTGTTGCAGCGGTCGGCCTGCGTGTAGCACAGGCCGCTGCCCCCCTCGCAGGGGTACTGGTCGGGCGGGCAGGCGGGGCAGCCCTGCTCGTCGCGGCCGCTGGCGCAGTGCCACCAGCCATCACAGCGCTGGGGCTCAGAAAAGCAGCCCTGCTCGCCCGCGGCCCCCGCCGCCCCCTCGCCGCCGCTCCCGCAGGGCTGCTCCCAGGGCAGGCAGTAGCCCTTCACCTGGTAGGTGGCGTTGAAGCCGTGGCCAGCGCTGCGGGCACGGGCGTGGTAGGCCACAGTGAGGCGGCCCTGGGCAGCCTCGAGGCTGACGGGCCGGTGGTTGCTGCGGTAGGACAGCGTTTGCAGCAGGCGGTCCCCACGCTCACCCAGGCCCTCGTACACCTGCACGTAGTCGTCGTAGCCCAGGCGCAGCTCGAGCTGCAGCAGCACGCGCCGCGGGTCCTGCGTGTCCACCAGCCACGTGCAGTGCAGGTCTGAGGGGCCGCGGGCCGCACCGAACAGGTCCGGGGAGGCGAAGGAGCCGTAGAAGCTGCCCAGCCGCCGGCCGCACGCCAGGTCCGGGCAGCCCGCCTCGTCAGAGCCGTCGCCGCAGTCCTGCGAGCCGTCACAGCGCCGCTCCACTGGCAGGCAGCGCGTGGACCGGGCCCCGCTGCAGGGGAAGGTGCCCCCCGGGCACAGGCTGCCTGGCAGCTCTGAGGCGGGCGCTGAGCAGTTGCCCTCGTCCGAGCCGTCACCACACTCGTCCATGGCGTTACACTGCCATGGGCCGGGCAGGCATTTGCCGTTGTCACAGTGGAACTCATCCGCCTGGCAGGACGCCTGGCCTAGCTTCCCTGGAGAGTAAAGAGGACGGGGAGACAGTCAGGGCCCCCCTCCAGCGTGGGCCTTGACCCCAAGGGGACAGCAGGCTCCTCCATCCCCGTGGGGCTTCTGAAGGGCTCAGGAAGAGGCGGGACCCCCAGGAGAGGGCCCTAGCTGGGACTGAGCCCCTGGAATGCCTGAATGGGGGGCAAGAAGGGGTCCCCCACTCTAGCCAGGTCTGCAGTGTCCGGCAGGGGCCTGTGTGGCAACTACCGCTGTGCCCGGTGGTTGGGGCCATGGGACTCAGCAGGTAGAGGGTGCTGCCTAGCTCAGGAGCATCTGAGGGTGCACTGGGTGCTTCTGTGGCGCCCTTCTCTGGCCTGCTGCGGGCATCACCTCGGATGTAAGAGAGACGAAAGCCCTGGGCCTGGCCGGAGCTGGAGGCGTCAGAGTGGAAGAAGATCCACACGTGGTCTCGGGCAGAGGTGAAGGCAGGCGGGATCGCGGAGCCGCAGAGCCGGAAGGCCTCCTGGCGGGGCGGGGCTGCCGGGCCCAGCATGAGCCAGTCCAGGGAGCACTGGTGGGATTCCTCCACGTCAAAGTTGCGGAAGCTGCGGGGAAGGGCAGAGGGGACTGGAGACGTGGGTGGGAAGAAGGGCCCCCACATCCAAGGCCCAGCAAGGAAAGTCAGGCCTGAGCCGGCTGCAAGGACAGCCACTGTACCCTGCCCTCCACTCCTGCACTTCCGGTCACTCAGTGGGACCCCCTGCACTCAGGGATGCAGGGGTGGCTGATGAATCCAACAGCCATGGACAGCCTGCTCACCTCCTGTCTTCCTGCCTCCCATCTGCACACACACAGCACCCCCAACCCAAAGCAGAAGTAGAAAGGAGACAAGAACCCCAGTCTCTCCAGAAGGGCGAGGCTCAAGGGTCCGGCTCCTTTCATGCTGCCTACTGGGCTGACCCAGCACGCCCTCCAGGCAGGACAAGGGCAGAGCTTGTCACTGGGGTAGGAGGAAACTGGCCCTGCACCCCCTGGCCCAGGCTGTGGGACAAGCAGCCCAGGTGGCCTTGGTGTGCTCTAGAACAGCCAGAGAGCATAGGGTCTTTGAGCCCAGCGCTATGGCTCAACAGCCACGGGAAACAAACACAGGCGTCAGGATGGCCCCAGTGCCTACTCCCCGTGGGCTCCCCAGCGAAATACCCCCAATGCCACCCCAGACCAGGACCTCCATCCTCAGGTCCACAATGCTGCCACCTCACCCCTTTTCCCTCTGCACGTGCCCACAGTTCAGGCACCAGGCTCCTGCCTGGTTCTCCTGCAGAGATGACCTTGGGCCCCATGCCAGCCTGGCCTCCAGGCACCTGTGGAGGACCGTTGCCACCTCACAGACCGCTGGGGCAGCCCCCCCACCTTCAGGGCCCTATTCAGGCAGCACTGCGGCAGCTGACAGACTCCACAGCCCAGAAAAGGGGTTCCAGGGGGACAAGGCCCAGCTCTGGATTGTCAGCCATGGGCACAGTCACACGCTTACCGCACACACCTGTGTACGTGGAACATATATGTTCCACATGTGTACTCACACACGTGGCACATGTACCCCCGTACCTGTTCAGACATGCTCGCGTGCAAGTCTATGTTCACACACTCGCGCATGTGCCCTCTGCATGTGTTCACACGTGCACCGTCACATACACACACACGTGCAGGCAGATTCCCCTGGACAGCCCCAGGGGCATGGTACCTAATGGTGATCATGTCCCCACGGTCGCCCTGGATGTACCAGCTGCAGTTGGTGCCAGGGGGGTAGTTGAGGGGCCAGGCTGGGCTGTAGATGACACCACGCCGTTCTGTGCGCTGCTCCAGTTTCCCGCTGCAGGCGGCTGTTGGGGGAGGAGGCTGAGGAATGCTGGCCTTGCCTTTGGGACATGGGGTGGGGCTCAAGAGCCCCCATGATTGGACACAGGCCTGCCCCGGTGTGGAATCGAAGCTAGCCAAGGGCAGTCATGGCCATGGGCAAGGCCACCACTTGGAACTGGCGTGTGGGAGGAAGGGGGCACAAAGAACCCTCGTGGACTTGGGGAAAGCCCAACCTCACCCTGTTCACAGAGTCTAGGTCTCATCCCCGGCCTCCAGCAGGACTGGGAGTGAGCCTTCCAGCAACTCCCGTTGGGGCACAGACAGGTGAGGCTCACAGAAGCACCTGGCCAGAGTCATCAGGCCGGAGCAGGAACCTGCCCTTTCTGCCCTGTGTCCTCGGCCCCCCGCATAGGACCTGGGCCAAGGCACCCCTGTCCTGAGGCCTTCCTCCCCAAGGCAGCTGTACTTGCTCTGGCTGGGGAGTCAGGCCCACAAGTCTCCCCGGGGCATCACTTGCCTCAGCCACATACTTCTGTCCAGGGCCTACGTCTAGCCCTTCTTTCAGGGATCGAGTCTGTCTCTCTGGACCACCAGCCAAGGTAGGAGCCAAGCTGCCAGCCCGGCTCTGCCTCTCAACAATCGGTCCAGGCAAACAGCCTCACTCAGAGAGCCCCCAGGGCTACTCCAGAAATCCCCACATGTGGGGCAGAAACATCACTTGGTTACTGTTTGCTCTTCTCCAAACAGAGACCACAGAGACCTTGCTTTCTGCAGCTGTCAACCCAGCCCACACAAAGTGGCCTCAGAGCAGGATGGAGGCAAGGGTTTGTGCTGGGAGCTGGGGGGTGGTGGGGGGCTAATGCCCCGAGGCCTCTTGGCTGTGGGCTAGAGGGTGCCACCAGCTGAGAGAGTTGTCCCAGATCCTTCTGTGATACAAGGCCTCAATGCCACCCCCATTCCAGGACCCAGGTCCAGGTGGGGAAAGGGCCTCATGAACTCAGTCCTGGGCCCATACTACCAGACACCCCACTGCGCCCAAGCACTCAGCTTGCCCATCAGTAAAAGAGAGTCAGTGGGTGCTCCTTGTCTCAAAAGGTGGCAGGGAATTTGAAGAGTCGCCCGACGAGGGGCTGGGGGTTGAGGGTGCGAGCTGTGGTGGGTGTGTGATGATGGGAGGACTGTGCTTTGAAAGATGCTGATGCAGAATAGAAGGTTTGGGGAACAGGGGTTCTGTCTGAGCTTTAGCTGCGGGTGGCCTATGATTTCCTTGGCGTTGGGCCAAGGTGACCAGCTTAGGTGGCAAGGGATGAACCAGTTCAAGAGGCGAGCAATGCTCTGGGCAGCCTGCTAGAGCGCAGGAAGGCCCACTGTGGGCACTCAGGTAAGCCACCCTGTGTGTGGGAAAGACCTGGCCCAGGTCCACTGCCCTGGGGTGACAGTATCTGTGGGTTAACCCCCACCCAGGCTGCAGACAGTAGGTCATCTGACCTAATCAGTGGCTGCCAACTTGGGGCAGACAAGGGCCGAGGAGCAATAGCCTCTGAGGTGTGCCAGGGCCCCTGTGGGGTCCCCAGGACGGTCTGAGCTCAGTGACTGCAGGGAGGGCTGAAGAAACACTTCTGATCTGGGCAGGATCAGTCCTGAGCACGCATCACAGATCTTGGGTTGGAGAGGACAAGTTGCTCTAGCCTCCACCTCTCTTAGGGAAGTCACAAGGATGGACTTAACCTCCAGGGTCCCTGGGGCCCCAGGGCACCAAAGCTGTGTCCTGCTGGGGCCCAGGTCTTGGTGGCTAAGAACAACCAAACTTGTGGGCCTGTGTGGCCGTCCCCTCCCTGGCTCTGTGAGTGGCCCTTGTCTCCGAGCACCACTTTTTTAAACATGGGCACAAGCACAAGGCATGGTGTTTGGACTCCAAGTCCACCCACCTACAAGCTGGAGGGGGGCTGGCCGGGGCTGGTGTTTGTAGTCTGCGACACCCCCACGCTCTGCCATAGCCACAGACACCAAAGCCAGATGACCCTGGTCAGTCTTCCGGAAGTTGGTTTGAGGAGACTGAGGAGTCAGCTGAAGGGGCCAGGATGCCAGGCCGGCCTGGAGCTGGCTCAGTGCTGAGCAAGGCAGGGCCGTGGGCCAGCCGAGTCAGCAGAGGCCAGGCTGCAGGGAGCCAGAGCTCGTGTGTAAGGAGAATCAGGAGGGGGAGCTGAGATGGGCCCATGACAGCCACTTCTGTGGACCCTGGGCTTCCCCATCCCAGTGGCCAGTGGGCAGCAGAGACCCTCTCTCTCTCCGAGCCAGCCTCAGTGGGTTTCTGCTCTAACCCCACACAGCTCCTGCCTCCCTGCAGCAGCTCAGCAGACAGAAAACCAGTCAGAAGCACCCAGACTAAGAGCCACACATTCTCCCCAGCCTCCTGGACTACCAAGGGCCACAGGTCTGGACTAATGCATTCACTGGCCTGGCAGCCCCTCAGTAAATGCCTGTGCTGGGCACTAGGCCCGCACAAAGACAGCCAGGGCTGGACAGACAGGCACAAGGCAAGGACCGTGCTGGCACTGTTTCCTTACATTCTGATGCCCTTCGGGTATCCACTAAACATAGGGCCAAAGCGTCAACCTTGTCCTGTGAACTGGCCTGGAACCTCTCTTCTCTGGGCAAACAGCAAATCCAAAGCTGAACCCCACCCACCTCTTCACTGAACACACACACCAAGCCAACGTTTTCCTGCCCGGGGCCAGGGACCAGGCAGGGTCTGACAGCCCAAAGCCCATGGGAATGACTCAAACTGGCCAGTCCTATGCTGTGGCCCCGGCCTTGCCTGCAAGACCCCTATAAAAGACTCCAGACTAGGCACCCCCTCACTCCTGTGGCTTCCTGCACAAACCTAAAATTTCCTTGTGGCCTCTCAAGACACATAAGTCACAAATTCTTCTGCCAACAGCATTGGCCTCTTTGTGGCCTCATTCAGCCACATCTTTATCAGTTACATCCCAGGTACTTTTTGAAACAGGTGGGCATCTCCAGGCACCTCATGATCCTCAGGGAACCCAGGGCCTACAGGAAACACAGCTGTCAACTGCACCAGGCCCATGCTGGAAGTATCAAGGTGCCAAAGCCTTGCTGAGCTCTAAGCCTCTTTGCTCATTCAACTCTAATAATCAGGCTTTGATGGAGGTTCTGTTTGCTGCTCCCATTTTATAGAAGGGGAAAGGAAGCCTCGCAGAGGTTTAATCATGTCCAAGGCCAAGGAGCTCCTTCGTGATGCAGAAAAGATGTGCCTGCACTGAACTCGAAGAGGCCAGGTGACATCAGACGCCAGGACCCGCGGGCCTGTGCAGGGGAGGGCAGGGAGGAAGGAGGCCGAGATGCCTCTGACTTACCTAAGGCAGGAACCGCGCTGCTGAGCCGCCCAGTGAGAACGATGTTCACTGTGGGAGACACAAGGGACTTCAGTGGGACACCGAGTCTCTCGGGACACAGGCACCTCCCTTAGGCCAACAGGAGTGCTTTGGGGTCCAGGACAACACAGTCCAAACTCTAGGTGGTTCTCTCATCTTGTAGGGCAAGGCCCGCTAGCCAACCACAGGCACTGTGCCCACCCAGTCCTGCTAGGACAGACAGGGCAAGGACTCCATAAGGTCTCGGGACCCACCTCCACCCGCAGCCAGAGAGCAGGGTGCCAGCCGGCCTGCACAGGATGCTCTCGCCTCTCCCCACGCCTGGGCAGTTTAGCTCGCTTGGGAGAGGGCTTGTGTCTGACTAAGGAGTCTCGGGCCTGGACCACCTGTCAGAGAGAGGCCCTAGTTCAGGCGGGGTTCCTGCCAGTTTAGGAGGTTCCCCTGACCAAAGGGCTTCCCCTCTGAGGGACTTAGCTAGCCACCATATCCACCAGCATTTGGAGAGGGGAAGGAAGCTCCCACTTTACAGGGCACATGGCCAGCTCAGGGTCCTCCTCACTGCCTCACGCTGACCTCTAGAATGGAGTAGAAGAACCCTCCTATCACCCACCCGTCAGGTGCCCACAGCCCCAGGGTTTGTCCTTTGCTTCCACCTACTACTTTCCCTCAGGGGTTATAGGACCAAGAAAAGGACATGAGCAAACCCAACTTCCCAGAGCTTAGGGTGCCCCATTCTTCCACCGAGGGATCTAGGAAAGCAGAAGACATCTCTGGAGGGGTCAGTCCTCACCTAGTGGGCAAGGGCAGCTGTTTCTCCTCTCTGGACACCTCAGCTGTGTTGGACAGAGCCCATGCCACATGGAGGGGAGGGAGGGCCCTGTGGAGGCCATGGAGCCTGCCCTGCAGCCAGCACCCCAAAGCCCAGAGCTCAAGCCACTAATGGACTAGGAGTGGGCACTTGAGGATCCATGCCCTTCTTTAGATCATCTCACAGGGCTGAGGCAGGGGCCTGCCCGTAGGCTCAGAACTCCCTACTTCTTGGGGGGCAGAAGAGGCTACAAAATGAACAGGACAGGCTGTTTGACTTTGTCATTTCAGAGGCGTCTGCAAACCCACTGGGGTCACAGTGTCTTCACTGGCAACACCATAGTGTGTCCCCTAATAACCCCTGCTCAGTAATGGCCTCCTCCTCATCATGGTAAATAAAGGAGCCATGTGTGTTGAGGACTTAACTCCTTCCTTCCCCTCTCCCCCACACAGGGACCTGCAAAGGCGGACAGACAAACTCCTGGGTAGGTCAGGAGCCCCTGGGCCCCTGGTGCCAAGCCTGGACAGGTCCCTTGTGCCTCCCCAGACACACCACCCTGGTGACATCGGTCTGCTCCACAGAGCTAAGAACACACTAGAAGAAGACAGGAGTCATTCTGGAAGCTGTCTCTGGCCAAGCGTCCCCAGTCTCTGGCTATGGCTAGCACCCTCCTTCCCCTCCCCCCAACTAGGCAGGAAACAGTTCCCTCTTCAGGGGCAGCCGGAGTGGCCTTTGTCCGTAGCTCTGGAGCGTGGGCAGGCCAGGCAAAGATCCACTTCTTGCCAACACCAGCCGCCTGCACAATCGGCCGCCTTGCACACTGCTCACCCCGGCTCCCAGGCGCTACTGGAGGCTCCCCTGCTGGAGGGGCAGCCCCTACCTCAGGCCTAAGACCCTAGCAGATCTGGATGATGGGGGCGGGGGGGAGGACCCTCTCTGCAGCCTCCATAGGAGACCGAGACCTCTCAAAGGCCCAGTGGTCCGGGAAGCCCAGGCTCCAGACTGGGATAGCAGGCTGGGTAGGGGGATCTCTCCTGGGTGCTGCGCGGGTTCCGAGGTAAGGGAACCCGGACCCCTCCCGGCTTACGCGGCCCACTCACCCAGGCAGACGACAGCGAGCTGCGCCCGGGCGCCGGGCGCCCCCTCCAGCCCTG